GGCATTTGAGCCTTAAGGGTCATGAGTTCGAATCTCCAAAGCGTCATTTTGTTTCTGAAATAAAAAAAATAGCAAGGACATAAAATTCCGAACTTTGTTTCTTCTTCCCTCAAACAGTTTGGAGCCAAATTTCACTCCGGGCTCTGAAAACTCGCAGAGCCGTCCTCCTCCTTCTCCACTATGGAGCATAAACTAGCCGCCGCAGAGGATAAAGTTCGTCTCTCATTTTTCTCATCTGTTGCTCTAATTTCTCAGACCGAGTTCGTATTCATTTTCACCACCAAATGCTGAGTAATACTAGAGTTTTGTTGTTTTTGCTTTAGGTTCTGCAATGTCTAGCCAATCATCTTCTGATTGAAAAGTTGAAGCAGGAGTCTCCGGATAATGACACTCCTGAGCAGGTAGGTGAAGCTTTGTTTTGAAGATGTCTGTATATATATATGCAACTTCGATAGGAATGCGTCTGAAATTGAGCTATGAAATGTTGTTGATAGTACAGAGTCTAGTTCGATTGACTGTTGAGCATCCGGCTTACTCGGTAGACTATTCATTCCAACCATACTCTGAGGTTTGTTTCCTCTCCTGAACAATGGGATCTTGATGTTTCCTGTCTCGAAGTTTCCTGGTTTGTGCGGTTCTTTAAGAGTCTCAAATTGCTTAGCAGGGCTGGTTTGTATCCGATGTTGGAATGAAGATGTCGAAAGTGATGAAATCAACGGAAATTATAGCTGTTGATTGTGAGATGGTTCTTTGTGAAGATGGGACTGAAGGTTTGGTTAGAGTTGGCGTTGTAGACCGTGATTTAAAGGTATAGCTTATAGTCAGAGATTTTTTTTGAATCATCTTTTCGGCATTCTTGACTCGAGTGATCAAATCTTCATGGCTTAGGTGATCCTTGACACATTTGTGAAACCGGACAAACCCATTGTTGACTATAGGACAGACATTACAGGGATCACTGCTGAAGATATCGAAAAAGCTACTCTCTCTGTGGCAGATGTACAGGTACCATGTAGAGTCGTTCTATTGGTTTATTTTCCCAGCAATAACGTATTAGTTGGTTTGTTAATTTTGTGAAATTTGCAGGAAACTTTGCAGCCTTTTCTTTCTAAGGGTACAATTTTGGTAGGTCACAGTCTGAACAAAGATTTGGAAGGTTAGTAAAATGTTCCCAGTAGAGTGAGTGGGTATTGATTTTGTTATTCTGATTGGTTCTTAACTACAAGTTTATGGGTATTTTGATCTCAGTGTTGAAGATAGATCATCCCAAAGTAATCGATACCTCACTTGTATTCAAGTATCCCAATGCACGAAAGCTCAGAAGACCTTCACTCAACAACCTTTGCGAGGTAAGTCTATACAATGGGTTTCTCTTCACTCTTGGTTGAATCACAAAAAAAGAAGATAATATTTTTTTTGTTTAAAATGAATTTTCCAGACTATTTTGGGTTACGAAGTCGAAAGGCCGGCATTCCTCATGATTGTGTGCAAGACGCACCAGCTGCGATGAAACTTGTACTCGGTGTTGTAGAGAAAAGAGTTGGCACAACAATCTTACCATCTAAAGAGGTTAGAAAAAAGATGGATTTACCAAACTTAAAGATTTAGCATCAATTCATCAATTAACTAACAATCAAATGTCTGCAATTTTTGCATAGATGTTGGAGGCTGAGAAAGCAAAACTCTTTCTACATAAAATCCCTCGCAATGTGCCACCTGAAGAGCTGGAACAAGTTCTCTCTGGAAAGTTTACACTTGATGTTAAGGTTGAGAAATCGAACCATTTACTTTTCTCCCTAACATAAAACCATTCCCTGACCTCAGTTTTTTTTTTTTTCTTTTGGCAGCCAGCAAGAACACAGAGAGGTTACTATTGTGCATTTGTTGTTTTCGAGAGTTCAGAAGAAGCAGATCAAGCATTTGAAGATGTTGATGGAAACCAAATGACGGTATTTTACAATCTCTGCTTTATTTGTAAAGGATCTGAAAACTATCTGATCGAAAGCGATGAAATCAGTTTGTGCATTTTGTTTTCTTTCAGGATTCATTGGGGTTGCCACATAAACTGATCGTCTTTAAGCTGCGTTCGGGATCAAGAGCTAGTTTATTTGTCCGTAAGATGGTTGAAGATGAATGATGCAACCTATGATTAGATTAACTATTTTGTATTGTATTATTCATATGTTTGGTATTTTGTTTGAAATTCAACGACGTTTAAGAGACTGTAACCTTTTTCGGATATTCAAACAATCAATGGCAAAACTAAGTATATTGTCACCGTATACAAGGGTAATATAAATAACCTTTGTGAAGATGATCTAAAGGAAATTGAAGAGCTAAAGCAGAAATTAAAAGGAGTTCCAATTCAGATGCAGGACTAAGATTTATGGCCAACCACAAACACAATTGGTAAACAATAAGAAGTTTCTGTTATTTTGTTTTATCATTTGCAGTTTCATTAGAATATTGTTGTCTTCATGTTCTTTTCTTTGTTGCTAAATAAATTGTTACAATTTTACCTTTTAATAATGGGAAGCTATATAGAAACAGAGTCAGTACAGAATCTGTTATACTAGCATGAGTGTGATAAAACCTGAATTTTCAAGCTCAGTCGCTTTCATAGTCTTCTTCCTCATCTCCAAAGGAGAAGACCGATGCGTCTGCAGCGATAGCTTTGATATCATTAACTGCTAATGAGTCGTTTGGTACTGGATTATAAAGACCCAAGGACGATGAACTTGTGACACTTTTGTTTGCAGAATGGTCATCGGTCTTTGGATGTTCATTGATCTGATGAGGTTTACTAGTTGTGTGCAGCGAGCCTGCGGTTTTCGCGTTAGTTGAATTTGACTCAATGTGTTTCGAGTTTCCTTCCTCTTCCGCATCACTGTCGGAGAACACATCGTCGTCTTTGTTCTGTTTAGACTTGATTTTGCCTGAATCAGCACCAGAGCTGCTTTGAGATTGTTGTTGGGTGGCGTACGAAGAATCAAAATTGGGATTTGTTGGTTGAGAATTGTCGGATTCTATCATTACGATTTCAACATGGAACCCTGGTGCAGGTAGTTTTCTCTGCAAAACCGTCACGGGATCAGGTTTAATGGAAAGCAACGAGGTTTGTTTCTCAGATCATCAAGAATACGAACATCTCTTTTACCTTTTCAAAGCCATCGAAGTCGATACCTTTTAGCATTGTTCTGTTATCAGTCAGTGTAGTATTTAGCCAACTGCGTGTAGAAATCAGAGAAAGTTAGTGAGTTTTTCGATTTGGAAGATGTGGGAAAGCACTGTGAAGGAAGAGAGTGTACCAATAGAAATCTCCATCGCTGTCTTGAAAATGGATTTTGAAGTCGCCAGCTAACTCTGTTAGACCAGCTTCACCAGGTATTGCAAAGACAACAACTCCTTTTTTTGGTGCCTTCATCCAAAAATCTTCAGGCTAAAGCACACAATAAGAAGTTTATATGTAAAGACGAGACTAGGTTAAGTAGAAAATAACAACAGA